CTCTAGTTTGTATCCAGTACAACCAGGACCAACAGTTACAAAAGTCCTATTTGAACTAATGCATCATTAATAGCATTTATTGTATCAGTTTCCTTTTGTAATACTAGTTCCTCAGCCTATAAATATAACTTGTAAACCTCCTACTAGGGGATCGAAATATTGATCAATAAGACACTGCCTTACGCTGCCAAATTATTATCTGTCTCCGTAGATTTAGCTCTTGTTGTTGGATTATACTCCATCAAAGGGCAAAAAAGATTATAAAATTTTAATTTTACTTAATTAACTTTTTTAGATAGCTTGTAGAATTAAAGAATATAAAATATATAATTATAGAATATGGAAAAACTTATATGAATTTCAAAATTAAAATTACATATCATGTCAGATATTTTAAAGGATAGTAAAAAGGTCAATATAAAAACTTTAAAGGATAGATGAAATTCAAATTAATTACAAATAAAAATTAAAAAATTAAAAATTTGATTTTCAAAATTAAGAAAGTGAAAATGATAAAAATACTAATACTTATTTTCAAAATATAAAAAATAAATAAAAGCTAATTGATAGATTATATATCTAGAGAGAAGTGAGAGCTAGAGAGAGAAGTGCAATAACTCTTTGCAATAAATGATTTGTCAACCCCTACAACTACTCCCAAAGAGTATTTATAGGAAAAATATGGGCTGGGCTCCCAAGCCTTGGGCTTGGGAGGCCCATTTACAATTGAGCCACTAATGGGCTGAATACAAAGTGTATATAAATGGCTAAGTATAAAATCCTTTTCTGGGATCTCTTCGTGGCAAACGAGGGTCTGGCCGACGAGGGCATGGCCGATGAAAACCCGGCCGACGAGGTCACCCGGTTCTCCTGGCTTCTGGATCATATTTTGAGTTGACTTCTTTTCTGGCCGATGGAGGTCATCTGGCCGACGGGGGTCCCACCAGGTGACTGTTGTACCTTCTGTTCTTCTGAGTATGTTGGTCCTGGGGCCTAGACCCATATACTCCATCAGGAGTCCCCCACTCTCTAAGCTGAGATGTAGACGAATTGAAGGAGAGTAGATTCATGCAGTTTTGGTGTTCGGACGATAAGGCTGATGTTCCCTTGACGTAAGTTTGTTAGAGGACGATGAGTGTCCTAGCTTAGAGGTCGAAATGCATCTTTGGTATGAGTGGCCGATGGGGGCAGTGTTTCCCCTTTTCAGATCGTTGAGTTTCGTTTTTGGGCCGAGGAGGCCACCGTGGTTGTCTCATGACTGAGGACGGTGAGTGTCCTTTTGTTTCGAATGGCCGCGGAGGGTGGTGTTTGCCCTCTTTGGCCGTCGTTGATTGCTTTCTGTGCTTTTGCTCAAGGTCTTGGGGATGACAGTGGCCCTGGACCGGAGGTCGTTGCGTGTCAATGGTTCTTGTGGACGACGAGTGTCCTGCACATGGCATTGACTGGTAGCCCATGCGTTTATGGCCGTTGAGGTTCTATCTTTCCATCTAGGCCGGAAATGAGTTGCGTGGCCCTTGGCCGTTGGGGCGCCAAGTGTCATAGCCGGAGTGAGCTTTGCTCCTTTGTTCGTTTACCTTGCGGCGGCCGAAGGTGCACCACAAAGCCGTGGACGTTGTGGTGCACAAAAATGTGCACTTGATCATTTCTGATTTCTCATCCCATCTTGGTGTTTTGAGGCCGGTGTAGTCCCCCAGTCCCCCACTGCTTCAGGCTGAAGAGTGTTTGAGGGGTGAAGGAGTAACGTAAGATCCAGGCCGAAACGGGATCCTCGTATTGCCCCTGAATCCAAGCCTTTGGCGATTTCCTGACCAAGGTAACCTTGTGGGAGAACCCTTGGACACAGGTCGCTTTCAAGGGGTTATCATCAGGGGGTTTTATACGAAGGCCGATGGCTGTTAGGTTCCTTGTTACTTTGCTTCTGTGGCCGTTGTAGGGGCCATTCCGTTGGTGTTATCTGTGGTCGTTAAGGGCGCACGTGGGGCTGCTAGTCGTTGTAGTGGTGTTGATTGCTATGGTGGGGCCGTTGGGTGTCTTGGCCATTGCAGGCGCCGTTTGTCCGTGTGAGCCGTAGGGTTTGCTTTGCTAGTGGGCCTGGCCCATTTTCGAAGCGGTGGCACCTCATTGGCCTTTGTGGTGGTGACCGTTGGAGTTGCCACTGTTGGGGTGCCATGTGTAGTGACCGTTGGGGGGGAAGGTCTATAAATACCCCCCCCCCCCCCCCTTCCGAAGGGAGTCCCCCATTTGCAATCAGAGCTATCGAAGTGCTGCTCAAATTTCTAGAGAGATAAAGTTCTTGCAGTGTTCTTCCGTTTCTTCAAAATTTCAAAGGTCAGTTCGTCAAACTTTTCTTTGATTCCTTGCATATTTTGCTTTCTTTATACTTTGATCTAGTGTTAGTCACAAAAACACCTTAGATCTGAAGTAGTCTCCCTTAGTGTCTTAGGAATTGTTAAGATGAAAACTTTGGACGAAGAGTACTATCCTTACGACGATGAGCCCTCAGCCAAGTCCCTTGATTACCGGGTTGTTGAGGAGTGTTGCGATAAAATTGAGGACTTGAGCCCCCTCAAATCGGGGGAGCAGGTGGACGAGGAAGACCACCTTTGGTTATCGTTAATGTGTTTTATGAAAGAAAGGAAGTAAGAAAGATGCCCCCAGGGCCGGCCCTGAGAATTCTAGGACCCTGTGCGAACAAAAAAATTGGGTCTTTTTTCTAATGCAAAGAAAAACCAAATGTATTTACCTTTGTGTACATAATATAAACCAATTTTTACTATGTATTAAATTTTATGAATCAAAATCATTTCGAAAAGAAAAAAGTAAATAAAGATATGTAAATCCACTATGATTTAAAAGAGCAAAAGTAAAAAATAAAATCACAGAAACTTGCACAAAGCTTCGAACACATAACCTCTAACCTAAGCCTATTGGTACTCCACTCGTGTCTTTCCACTGTGCTGTTGAAGAGTTAGCTACTGCTAATAGCATTTAAGAGAAACTAATACTGGTAGTAATTTTTGGACCTTCATTTTATATGGGCCCTGTGCCATTGCACATCCCACACCTGGCCTGGGTCGGCCCTGGATGCCCCCCAAACAAAATGGTTCAATATCCCAATTATATTAGTGTATAAATGTTGTTTACAAGGACATGGCCGAACAGGAGTTATGGACCAGTTGCTAATACAAGAGCTAGAATGATATATTTCATAGTGAGTATCAAAATGCTAACCTCTTACAACAAAATAAATGATGTTATTTATACTAGGAGTAAGTTGGTGAGATGGATGGTGTGGCCAATTCTGAAACAATGTCAAACAAAAAAATTGGGGATGTCTTTGCTGGAAGCTTTTTTTTCTTTTTTTTTAAACAAGCGCTTTATTCAATTTCTTTAACACAAATTCAATTCTGATATAAGAAATACCAAGAATTGTTATACTCCCTCCGTTCCCAAAAATACTTCTCACTTTCCTTTTTGGGCTGTTCCCAAAAATACTTCCCACTTTCCCATTTTGGATAATTTGTGTGGCTCACATTCATTTTACCTTTTTCTTACGCAACCACAACCATACATTTCCACTTTATTCCACTTTCTTAATAAGCGTGCCAAGTCAAACCGGGAAGAATTTTTAGGAACGGAGGGAGTATCACAGATATGTGTTTTTCTGAATTCAAAAAACACATATAAGTCACTTATCTCCATTAAAAGAAAAAACTGAGATATGTTTCACATTTTTTCTTTTGGAGAACATACAATGAGGTAAACTAGTGTTGGATTCGGTTCGGGCCACCCGGCCCGGCCCGGTACTGTGCGGGCCCGGGACCGGCCCGGTCGGGCGGTCCAGGACCGGGTGTGGACCCGAACCGGTGGGAATGGGCGGGGCGGGCACGATTCCGGATAAATGTGACCCGGCCCGGCCGGGTCGTGCCCGGGCCCGAGTCCGGTCTGATTTTTTTAAAAAAAATAAATTGGGCTACTAGCCGTTGGGGGTGGGTGGGGACAACCCAAACGGCTATATAGCCGTTGGGTGGGGTGCAGGGGGGTCCGGGGGTTGGGTGGTGGGGGGTGGGGGGGGTAAAAAAAACCTATAAATACTCCTAATCTTAAACATTTTTTCATCTCTTCTCAAATTCTTCCTAAATCCTATTCTTAACTCTCTACTCTCTAATTCTCTTATTCTCCAATATATTATATTTATTATTTATATATCTACTTTATAGTTTATACTTAAGAAGTTAAGATGGGAAAATCAAGATGCCATTATACGGTATAATTTTGATAAGCAGAAGGACCCGAAGACCGGGATGTGGTACGCAATTTGCAAATGGTGCGAGAAAAAATGTAGCATGAGGGTTTCAGGCAGATACGGGATGGCAATCAAGCATATGAAGTCACGTGACAAAGCCAAAGGATCGGGAGGTGCGGGAAGTTCCGATTGATTACAATTTTCAAAATGTTTGTCTTTTAAAGTTTGTTTTAATTTTCAAATGTAGTTCATATTTCATTTCAAATAAATGCACTTGAAGTTTGTTTTTAATACTCGTATAAAACTATAAACTATAAAATATAAATTATAAAAAAATAATAATAACCGGCCCGGCCCGAACCGGACCCGACCCGTGACCCGGGCGGATGGCCCAACCCGAACCGGACCCGTCCAACTCTCGGGCCGGTCCCGGGCCCATGTCATACAAACCGGCGGCCCGGCCCGGGCCCAACCCGGCCCGAGTCCATACCTAAGGTAAACGCATTTTCCAATTTTGATATCTCCAATTTCCAGTATTTTTGCAAAAACAGAAACTATTTCTATTAGTTAACAGGCCTAAGTTTCCACTAATTCTTCGTCATGCTATTCAAAAATGTACTTAATTTTATTTTTACAAACTTTTTAACACATTTTTGAATTACGGATAATTAATTTTGCATTGTTTTAGCTTTCATATGCTAAAAACAAATAATTTGTTTCTACTAGATAAAAGGATAAATTTAAATATAAAAGGATTTTACATTAATTTGTTTTAAATAGATTTATGCAACTCACAATAATTTGTTTTTAAATAGAGTGATTTTGAAGTAAGAGATGGACTAAAAACAAAATAGTACATATTACATGGATGAAAAACAAAAAAATATGTTTACAAGAATTTAAGGACAAAAACGTATTTAATCCTAGCCTAAACGTTATCGATCTTTTATGATACATCTCCATAGTAAATTAATCAAACAAATCGACCAACTGGCCTACAATAAAATTCGGGGTGGCAAAAAATACTCCTCAGAATTCTTTCCCTTCAATGTGCATTTGTTGCTTTTTGGAGTCGCTTTAACATACGTAGTAATAATTAATAAGGATTTCCAAACTGGTATTTCACTTGTTTTGTCGAGGGTGCCCCAATTTGGTAGCTCAGCTACATGCCCAAATGGTAACTTTCTCTTTCTCCTCCTTGGTCAGAAAGTAATATTGGCAGCCAGCCAAAATGCATATTGGGACCCCTGGATATTTTGTACTCCCATTTTGTTGATAATGGCAAAGGTAAAACTAAACGTGTATCATTTCGTAAGACTTCCAAAGGATATCAAAACACCATAAGGAGTTATATAAGAGTAAAAATACCTTTCCCATGAGTTCAATCGTTAGCAATTCATCATGATAACTAGGACTCTAGGAGCTGTGGAACCGACACTTTTTGCCAAGAGATGTTCCTTTCGTCTAGTTCAATTTGCAGACATCTATTTAAAGAAAAACAATCAACAAGAATGTATATGTAACAAGACATTCACAAATTAAAGCAACAATATAAGATTGTCAAGTTCACAGAGAAAAAGCTGTTACTGTACTCTCATATGGGGTGCATACATTAATGATTTTCAAAATAGGGTGCAAACTCAAATATCACCCAAAAATGGGGTGCAAACTCAAATTCTCCCTTTACAAAAACATATAGATTGCTAAATTTTTATTTCAGTATCAAATCTAATGTTGTTCATATAGAAAATAATGGTTTGTACCACAATTGTTCCCATCACGAATTTCCTGATGGCAACATCGTCCGGCCACCTCCATTTGAGGTGCTTTCAGGTGAAACTTTTTTATGAAATTTTGTGAACAGGTTCTTCATGAAGTGAAGATTATGTCCACCAATTTTTAGCTTAAAATTCAATTGGGAAGCCAATGAAATAAGTTATTGAAATACACAGTGTTTTATATCCATTTTTGGCGCATTGTTTTTCAATATTTTAAGCTGAAATGTGGTAGACATAATAATCGACACTTCATGAAGAACATGTTCACAATATTTCATCCAAAAATCCACCCAGAAGCACCATAAATGGAGGTGGCCGGAGGGCTTTTCGTTTGAGAAATTCCTGACTGGAAGATTACTCTGGTTTGTACTACTCGAGACACTATTAACTTGGCATCCATATAATTTTTTAACTGAAAATATTGCACAAAAAAATATATAAGGATCAAGGATCAAAGCTACAAAAATAAGCATTTTTCTTTGCAATGTAGCAGCATGCACATAAACATCAGAAATTTCATGTGAACTATTGCAAGAATTCAGAATTTGATCAGATTACCTTTTAATGTAGTCCCCACTCCCATTATTCAATTTCTTCTCATGCCCACAAAACATGGTTGAACGGACTTGTTTGAAATTTCTTAACCCGCTGTCTGAACAGCTATTAAGTAATCCCTCTTCCAAAAAACATTGTTTCATAAGCCTTTTTGTCAAAACAGAAGTCCTAATTACTCCCACAAAAGCTACAAAGTTAAATATGATGTATATTGTTGTCAAAAAACTACTATATTTTAAAATTTTGTACGGAGTATATGAGTAATACGACATCATGACTTGCCAAAATTAAAAAGCTAACATGATTTAGTTAAACCAACATCAGTTGTACCTAGTAGAAATTTATATGTTGCCCCTTGATCAAACAGGTCTCCTCTTTCTAGGACAGAGAGTAGAAAACAAAACTCATCTCTATTGCTGGAAGAATCGATTCCTACCTCAAATATACTCAAATATTACCATTTCTCGAACATATCCCGCAAGTTTTGTGATAATGGCTTATCTGCAAAAGTTGTCCACGGTTTTTGAAAGAGCAAAAATCTCAAATGTATGTCAACTCATTCATAATTCAGTATCTTTTCCACCCGGATTTTTGATTGCATATTTTTCGCTACACGATTTAAGCCAGAACGACGCAGACCATTAATAACTGCTTCTTTGTCTGACTTTAGAATTTTCTCACCACTTCTAACGCAAGAAAGCAACACCTTAGAAGCTTCACAAAACCTCCCTACCTTACAAAGACCGTTCACCATTGATGAATACGTAAAACCATCCTTCTCAACCATAGATTCAAATACATCCAATGCATGGTCAATGTGACCAACTTTACACAACCCATTAATAAAACAATTAAAAACAACCAAATTTGGCACAATTCTCTTCTTAGCCATATAATCCAAGTGTTGGAGCGCGCCTTCTATATCTCCTGCCTTACACATACCATCAATCAAAATAGTATGTGTGTATATGTCACACTCCATCCCTCTTCCTATTGCATCTTCAACCAAAGAGAATGCATCTTCTATTTTCCCGTGCTTACAATAAAGATTAATGAGATTGTTATAAGTCACCATATCAAGCTTAATCCCATTACAAACCATATTCTCCAAAAATTCAAGAGCTTCCCTTGTTCTACCCGCCGTAAGCAAATAGCTAATCACTATACAGTAACCGTGTGAATCAAATACAAACCCTTTGCTTCTCATATCTTCAAGGACGCAAAGCCCCTCTTCGAAACGTCTTGAACTGAAACAACACTTCATTAATGTGGTATATGTAACAGCATTGGGAGTATGTCCCGTTTTCACCAGCTCTTTCAAAAGCCTTCTGACAGATGCGTGACAACCAGATTTGCAAAGCCCATGAATAAGGATGTTGTATGTTACCAAATGAGGTATAAATCCATTATGTTTTAAGTTCCTAAATAGCTTGATGGCATTCTTTGCATATCCATTCGTGCAAAGACCGTTCATTAGGATATTAAATGTTGCTTTATCCGGTGGGAAGCCCTTCAAAAGAATGTCCCGAAATATTCTATAGCCCTCATCTGGTTTTCCGGATTTGAAATAGCAATGCATCAACATGTTGTAACTCCAAATGTCAGGAAAAACATTAGATCCCAGCATTTCATCAAACAGATCGATGCATCTGGATAACGAGGTATGTCTAGCAGCCCCAGATATCAAAGAATTATATGTTACGACGTCTGGTCTAATCCCGGATTCTCGCATTCTTTCAAGAACTGAATACCCTTCATTAATTCCAAAAAATTGACAATATGCTGGGATTAGAGTGTTATAGGTTACCACGTCCAACTGTACTCCTACTCTTATACCGTCAACTAGTAGTTCTTCTGCTTTCTCTAGTTGTTTGGATTTACAAAAGTATGTTACACTTATGTTCAAAAGCTTTGTTGATAGTGCGCCTTTATTTGTCCGCATCAATTACAATCTATGTAACAAATCGAACAAAAATATCAAACGAACATTCTATATGCGATTTAATCGACATTTATAAATATGATGAGACTATGAAAGTAGTAACATTTTAAATGTAAAAATAAATAAAACAGAATCATGTTAAAGTGCTCTCATACACACCACATCAAGTAGGTGAGGTGCATGGATATTACAGAGTATACTGCTAATCTGTTATTATTCACAAGTCACAAAATAGGTTTAAGTGAAATTATGAATTCCCTTACGAACAACTCCAAATACTAACCAGGGTTTTAAGTATTGGATGACTAAAGGATTGATAGGTAGCAGTCGCCTTGAATTGAGAGATGAACACGGTTAGTTGAGAAACGAACGCTGGCCAGAATGCAGAAGTGTGAGACGTGGGCACAAAGATGGGGTCGGAGGAGGAAATGGGGGAAATGGGAAAATGGTCCATCTTCGTGCACCTTCTAGATTCTCAGTGCACCCAAGTCACCAACTTGTTTAGTTTCTTTCACCTTTGATTTCCATGATCAAGAGTATTCCAAGATTAAATGGATGCTTGATTGCCATGTTTGTTGGAGTATAGTCAATTTTTTTTACCAAAAGTTAATGGCTAAAGGGTCAAATAGGTACATGAACCAACTTAAAGTGTTCAATTAGCCCCTTATTTAGGAGGTTCTGACCGGCCGTCGCCAATTGGGGCGGTTCCTGATGGCATTTTTTAATGAAATTTTTTGAATATCTTCTTCAAAAAATAACTGACTACTCCAACAAACATGGCAATCAAACACCCATTTAATCTTGGAATACTCTTGATCATGGAAGTCAAAGGTGAAAGAAACTAAACAAGTTGGGGACTTAGATGCACTGAGAATCTAGAAGGTGCACGAAGATAGACCATTTTCCCCTTTCCCCCATTTCCTCCTCCGGTCCCATCTTTGTGCCCACGTCTCACACTCCTGCATTCTGACCAAAAATGAGAAGTTGATTTTGACGGCTTCGTCTGTGTGGCTGTCAAGAGTATTAGAGCGACAAAGGTGTTGCAGACGTCAACGTGAAGGGAGCAATCCTTCTTGGGCGACGTCGGCTGAAGGTAATTTGTCTATCTGAACAGTCCTTTGGTTAGGAGATGGAGGCGATCTACGAGCAAAATAAAGTGGAGAAGTTGGAAATGAACGAAGAAGATGAGTCTATATAGGTGGAAGCCATGAATTCGAGTGCGGCGGATGGGAGCCCACCGCTTGTCGGCACCATCACAACAAACAAGTTGGGTATGACCGGCGGAAAAGCATTGCTCCTAGTAAGTAGATGATTGATGACGGGGTGACAATTTTGGTGAAACGCAGAGTTTGACCACTGATGAAGAAGCAACCACCATCATGGAATGAACAAATTGGAGTTTTGACTGTTCGTGAAAAGTCTCAATTAAAAGGGATCAAGAATAAAGGAGCTTGGCAAGTAGTGACAGACTCGTTTAGTTTGCAGATTGTTAATTTTATCTTCTAGTCTGTCTTTTATGTTGGATTCTATGTGATTTATGTGTATTACGAGTTTGTGGTGGGTTAATTTCTTTATATCTATGGTTAAAGAAGTTGAAGTATGTATATTGCTTGGAATATTAAAATTAATATCTAATTTACCGCACAAAAATTAATATCTAATTTACCGCACAACTTAAACTAATATATAACACACAAGAATCAATATCTAATGCACATTATGAATATACACCCAAGAACTAGTACTTAACACATAATATATGTATATAATCACAATAAGTATTTACCGCACAAAAATCGGTATCTCACAAACAACAACCAATATATAAAGTACATGAACCGACCATTTTATTATTAGGTAGGATATAACACACTACCATTGGTATTTGATGCAAATTAAAATAAATGAATAGAAAATAAATTACAATTTGAAATGAAGACTAACGTGACTGATGGATACATTGAACAAAAAGGAATGATATTTTATATCTATAATTGGATAGCTCAATTGATGTGACAAAATAAAATAAAATATTCAAAATGATATGAAACTTATTCTTAACATTAGTAGACCGTAGGAATTAGGAAGGTAATAATTAAAATGTCGGTTACCAAAACTGTCCAACATGTGTTAGACGAAACTAGCCCTTACTACCATTAAGTTGATCAGAGATCGGCATGTATTTTGGATGGATGAGATTTGTTCTCACGTTCTTACGTTAAGACTCGTTCTCATTTGAACCAAAATCTATATATATATATATATATATATATATATATATATATATATAGATTTATATAGATTTATGTACATATATATTTAAAATATATATTTATGTACATATATGATATATATTGGCATTTATATACATAGATATATACATAAAATATATATCTACATGTACGAAGTATATGCATACATTTATTTCCATCTCTCTCTCTCTCTCTCTCTCTCTCTCTCTCTCTATATATATATATATATATATATATATATATATATATATACACTCAAAGTATATCAACATAGACTATTATATTGAAATAAGAAAAGTAAATAAACATACAACTTTATAACGAGCCTAAGAAAAAACAGACCTGCTGCAAATTTTTGATTTTACAAAGGGAAGCATCTATGCAGCAATAGGTCTCTCCAAGTAATCCCTAATGATGATCTGCAGCTCATGCAAAATCGCATAGAAAACTTCTATACTAAACTCAATTTTTAATTTACTAATACTACAATTGATTAACAATGGTAATAAAATGATCTTCCAGGCATAATTTATTAGTTCTACAGATTATGATCAATAATACAAACTGGAAATCGCAAGAATTTTCTTTGAATATAGTTATCTAAGAAGGCAGTCCACTCTATATCTTGAAAATATAGCAAGTTTGCTGATTTCAGAAGATATCCTATCAAAGTCATTTGTTGGCAATATATGATCATAAACTATTTGAAGTTGAACTGCTGAATCCATTTAAAGTATTTATTAATTGGTTGTTGAGAAAACAAAAAAATCTAAATGTAGACTGATGAAATAAGAAGTTTTTATTATGACATGAAGTTCAATTAAACAGCACATCCTCTGCATTTGAACCAAGCTTTCCAATGAAATAGAGTTGTATGAATGGCCTTTTAGTAGATGCATTTATCATTCAACTTGCGTGCTAAAAGAAGGAAAGAAGAAAACGGTGAAAGAAAAAACATCAGTCAACTTGTCCGTCAGCCCTAAATGAAGACAAATCGAACGATGCAATGATTACACGATAGAGGAAACAAACAGGGAACAAACACATACAATATGATTGAAAACACTAAAAAACCATAGCATCAATAAAACACATAATTTGCGGCTAAAAAAAGAAAGAACAACTCACATCATACAAGGCCCTCTAAGTTTCATATGTTCTGTATATCATTTAGCTACTGAAAAAAAGACGAAAATAATTTAGAACAAACAACATTAAATTCGAAAAAAGATTAGGAAATGATATTAAATGCAACAGCAAACCTCATAAAGATCGCTAGATCGGTCTACTTGAGACTGCGTCCAATCTGATGAGGAGACGAGGAAGGGGAGGTCGGTCTAACGGAGATAATTTGTCAATCAAAAGCGAGATGCTTTCACAATGTTTATGTATTTGAACGGTGGGGTGAATTGCCTATACGATGAGGGGAAACCAACAATGGGTTCGATAATTTATCGGTGAGGAGGTAGGTGTATCGAGACTCGAGAGTCGAGACTTCCAGAGTTTTGAGTGAGCAGTGATATTTGTGTTCTACTCCGTATGAAATAATAGGGCCGAAACATATGTATGGGCCTGGGTTGATAATGGGTAGTCCAGATTTTCCTTTAAAATTAGAATGTTCTGATCTGCTGAAAAATACTCTCTCTGTCCCGCTAACAATGAGACAAGAGGGAATGACACGCAAATCAATAAAAAATGGTTTATGTGGTTTATATTGAATTGATAACGTAAGAATAAAGTAAGAATGATTTACAGGCACACAAACTTTACCAAATTTGGTATGAGACTATTTTAGTGGGACGGACTGATGAGGTAAAATGGGATAATCATAACGGGACGGAGGTAATATATGTTGATAAAAATTATTATTATTATTATTATTATTATTATTATTATTATTATTATTATTATTATTACATTCAGTAAAAAATTATTATCAATTAAAAGAAAAACCTCAACCGACAGCCTCTTACAAATGCTCAAAATACGACTTACAAAGTTTTAACGTGTTTTTTTATTTTTTTCACTAATTTACATATGTGTGTGTATTAGATGAGGTGTTTCAACAAAAGAATATTTTTATTCACTTATATTTTTAAACATACCAAAAGATGCTATCAACAAATCAAATACGCCAATCATATACGTTTTTCCAAAAAAACAAATCATATACGCCAATCATAAATGCTTTTCCTATATCCTAAGTAGTACGCAGTAATACCTTTGTTCCAATTTAAAATTCTCATCCAAAAACAACACAATTAGAGGATAATTAAGCAAGATAATTCGAGTATATTTTAAAGTAATATGAGTATGTATATAATATAATGAGTTAATCAATGGTAATTGTGAAGTTATGAGGGTATTTTTTTTAATATGTGATGTTTAATTTTGTCATGTATTAGTTTTCAGTATTTATTCACATAGATATGAAAACCTTGAAATGTGACGTCTAAAATAACAAGTGATATGATAACATTTATCGGGAATGAAGACAATTTTAATTTACTCATTCATGTATTCTAATACTCTTAAAAATAATATATTTTACATTGATATTTCAATATGTACTATATCATACGAGTAAATAATATTAAAATATTTTTGTCCAATGCATCGCACGGGTATAATACTAGTTTTATTAATAAAATAAAGAAAAAATTATATGTAAAAATAGCTAAAATAGTCATTTACAATAACTTCAGCCAATACAGCCAGAAAAGTAAGTTCAACCTTACTTTTTCTGCTTATTACACAATTCAGCGCGCGAAAGCAAAAGTTACGTGTTTGATGAAAAAGTTGGCTGATAAGTCTGATAAGCCGAAAAACAGTGTTGCCAAACGGCCTCTTAATTTTTATTGGATACTTTATTTTAATTAAAATAATAATTTCTATTGATTGAAATAGGTGGTGGGAATAGTCAAATACTTAAACCTTATTGGTTGAAATAGGTGGTGAGAATAGTCAAATACTTAAACCTTATTGGTTGAAATGGGTGGTGGGAATATTCAAATACTTAAACCTTATCTATTCTAATCAATATTGCAAAACAAGTTTGAGGAGTATTGTTCCCCCCAAGAATTGTCAACATCAAGTTTTTTTTTTTAATTTTTATTGCATACTTTACTTTGATCAAATTACTAATTTTCTATTGCTTGAAATGGGTGATGGGAATAGTCAAATACTTAAACTTTATTGGTTGAAATGGGTGATGGGAATACTCAAATACTTAAACCTTATTGGTTGAAATAGGTGGTGGGCATAATGAAGCTTATTGATTGTTTCCAAATTTCTAAAAGATTGCAATGGACTTTCAGCTATAAAAGCAATGCGAATGTAAAAAGGTTTTCACATTCATTCATTACCATATCAATAAATATATATTATTGTTCAAGTTGGTAGTATTATTTTGTAACAATTGATTTCACCAAAAATTGGTTGAAAAAAACATATCATAATTATATAATTGTAGGTTGGACAAAAATAAATAATTCAAAAGACATTGCTGGAAGGCATATTTTTAAAATAAAGTGTTGTATTTATTAGAGTTGTGCTATTTAAATAAAAAAAGGCCGTCTTAAAATTATCAAATTCATAGAAGTCTATGTGTTTGGTGTGTGTTACATCTATGTTGTCTTTTGATATATCGGGTTGAGAAGGGCTGAAGTGGAGATTGGATGTTGTAGACAAATAATGGGTATGCAATAACTGTTTGGAATTCGTTTATGGCGATTCGAGTTTCGGGTTGTTCAACCTCATGAATGAGTTCATCGGTCTCGCAACAGTTCAAAATATTTAAAGGTAGGTAGTGTATTTGTATTTAATGATATTGGGTTACTATTAATGGCACATGACATGTTTGGGCTAAAGGGTCACATAGGTACATGAACTAACTTAAAATGTTCAATTAGCCTCTTATATAGAAGGTTCTGCTCGGCCATCACCAATTGGGGCGGTTCCCGGTGGAATTTTTTGATGCAATATTTTGACCATCTTTTTCATTAAGTCTAGTTTACCCATACCAAATTTCAGCTAACAATTTAACCGGGAAGACAGTCAAATGAATTTTTGAAGATAATTGCGCAGTTAAACAGCGCAGTACATTTTGGAAAATCAATTGGCTATCTTCCCGATTTAATTTTTAGCTGAAATTTAATATGGCTAAACTAGACTTAATGAATAAGATGATCAAAAAAATCATCAAAAAATTCCATCGAGAACCGCCCCAATTTGCGACGACCGAACAGAATCTCCTAAATAAGGGGCTAATTGAACACTTTAAGTTAGTTCGTGTACCTATTTGACCCTTTAGCCGACATGTTTGTTGGCACGTGTGTGTACAAGTGTACAATTTTTAAAATTGGTGGAAGTGTTGTGTTTAAAGTGTCTTTAAAAAAAATTAAAAAATGTTTTAAGTGTGTTTTGTTAAAAATGCAAACAAACATCATCCATATTTTTTGGAGAATGAAAAATGATATAAATAGTTTTAGGATGCTTATTTGTTAAAAAATTATCCACCGGAAATTATCAACATAAACCGGAAATGAAAAAGATTTTTAACTATAAATGTATGGAGTCGAGATATGTAGAGTTTCGATGATGTGTTTCACATAAAGTCAGTTTTAGGATGCTTATTTGTCAAAAAATGTGTATTTGACGATTGATTTATAAAAAATGAGATTAATCTTTTATTAAAAAATTATCAAAACAAAGCTAGACATGAAAATCGATTAGAAACATGAACACGGATCTTCCAGATTTGTGTGCTTTGGACGATGTTTTCCATATAAAATCAGGTCGTTGTTGCTTATTCGTGATAAACGTCAAAGCGAGATGTGGCTTGTGAGGTGGTTGGATTTAGATCTTACCCCTGACATGTAAATCTAGGCGGAAGAATGAAACGTTTACGGATCCATGGCCATGGAACTTCCAGATCTGTAAAGTTTGTGTGTTGTAGTTATAAAAAAAAGTTTTAGTTTGGTTATTCTTGGAAAACATGAAATCGATGAAGGCTTGCATGTAGAAGAAGGAAAATGAACTTACCGTGTAGTCTGACTAAATGCGCAGATTGATGCCGTATTGTGCCGATGTTCGTTCGGTTGTGGCTTCACGGTGGGATAAAGGGATGAGAACATGGTGATGATGTTCGACGACCACTTCATTTTTTCAGTCGATTGGATAAACTGCGGTTGAGCATCGTGGTCGGAGTTTAGAGAGAGGGAAGGCCGATCTGGCTAGGTGTCGGCGAAGAAAGGGGAGGGTTTGTGGGAGGGGTCGTTTTCAGAGTTGTTATAGACGCACTTACATTGGGAGGGGTTTACATGGATTATTGGGCTACTTCTGCGGCCCGTTTAGTTGTTGAACACGGAGAACACATAGGATGCTCTGGATCGGCCTGTACAAATAGCTTAAGGTTTCTTCAGTTTGGATGAATGCCCAAATTTGGACATTTAAGTTAATACGTATGAAGGAGTACTCCATCAGTATTTTAAAGCTTGTTACACTTTCCCATTTGGGATGCATTTTTTTTATATAAAATAGAAAAAAATATGAATATAAAATCTATATTTTATTCGCTCTTTTCTAAATATTCCTATATTCTACTTTTTAAGAATTTTGGATTGTAATTCTATATGATGTAAGTTTTCATGTATTTTATTTATTTAAAAACGGATTTAGTATTTATCAATTTTGACATTATTTTTAGCATTTTTTATACTTTTATTTATATATTTTGAAAATGCATATGTGCTTTTATAAATAAAAAAATCAATTATGTGAAGTTATTTAGAAAACGAACCACCACAGTGGCTTAAAATGCCTTGATTGAATGTGTTTTAAAAGTAAATGTACTTAATGACACCATTACTTTTTTTCTTATGTGGTCAACACACATGTGTAAAATAATATAAGGATCTCTTAAAATACTTCCCACAAATTTATATTCAAGTATAATTTAAAAATAACATAACACACTTTTACATTATTGTACACCCTCTATTTTGCATGTTTACTCGGGCAATCATTTAGAAAATGGAAAAAAAAATTGATAAATCATTTGTGCATTGTGAGGGTGAATTTACTAGAAGGAAGGATTTTAATTTTAACATGAGTTAGTGCGGGACAGAATGTGTTAATTTCGAAGCATTTCTTAACACCTTAAGACGTTACCCACTGCAATTCCGGATACTAGAATACCTACACATGACTTATTGTGTCATGAATGTAAATAAAATCAAAAATAGTTGGTGTCCCGTGTTGCATGGTTTGTTGTTGAAAACACTTATTAGTAATTATTGTCAATTTTACGTGGATGTGTTAGGAGCAATCAATCTGTCGAGCGTTAAAATTAATTGCATCGTGAAAATTTTCAAACCGTGCATTGCACGGGTGCTCTATTAGGATCGAATAGAGCCGGTTAAGGTCCGATTGGCCCAGACGCCCAATACAATCGGGCCGAACCGTGCATCGCACGGGTTCGGTCTAGGATCGAATAGAGCCGGTTAAGGCCCGATTGAAGAATTATCATATTTGAGTATTGTTTAAATAATGCCATAACACACTTTCACATATTTGCACACCCCCTGATTTGCCAATTTATCCGGGCAATTCGTGTAAAAAATGCAATTCGTATAAATGAATAGTCACCATATTACTTGAGATGTTTATACTTAGACTTATTTCAATCTCAAACCAAACCAAACTTAAACAAACCAGACCATACTTGGATATTAGAAATAGTAGAAGCACCTATTTGAACATTTTCCCACAAATTTAGATTCAGGTATAATTCAAGAATGACATAACACACTTTCACATATTTTACTTCCTTATTTTACCTATTTAGAGAGACAATTCATCTAAAAAAAGCAATTCGTGTAAATTTAAAAATTCTAATTGGTGATGAAGATGAAGGAACCATTGACAAAATGACAAGACTCAGAAACCCAACTGATTACGAGGTTACCGTGCCTAGCGAAAGGTCTCGAGTTCGAAACCCGCTAGGCACAATAAGGGTTTGAAACTCAATGGAGTGAGTTTCAGCCCTCACTACTCTAGCCCCCCCAGCCCCCCTCCCCCAGACCCCCTGGAGTATAAAAAAATGACAAGACTCAGAATGTTGTATTCAAAGAAGTGTTCAACAATGTTTAAGTTTACATTAAATGCATATTTACAATGTGATGGTTTTAACGTATTTGTTGGATGTTTTTTATCTTTTAAGTAATGTTTAGTACTCTCATTTTGACCATAATATTATAAGTGTCTTTCGTTTAATGCTTTTATGTATATCAGTATTACATGAAAATAGATGATGTCATCAATTAATAGTGTGATTTGAATCACTAAGCACACATAAATTTGAAAGAAAAATTCTCAGACTTTGCATCGCACGGGTGAGTTTACTAGTAAATGAGAAAAAAATACCCTTGTTATGTAATGGTACTAAAGCCTTAAACCCCCAATATTAGTCCGCCCGATCCTTTCCCCCAGAGGTGGAGCCGCCATCATTGGTGCCTTTCCATCATCGCTTCCATCACCACCGGCTCCATCGCCACATCCGTCATCGTCTATGTCATCGTGTCTCCATCGCCGCCAGCTGAGTCGCAGCATCCATCGCTGTCGACTCAGTCGCCACATCCATCATTGCTGACTCAGTCACCACATCCATCATTGTCGGCTCAGTCGCCCCATCCATATCCTCCTTCTCCGCCTCTAGTATCGCCGCCGCCTCCCATTGATTTCCTTCTTCATCTAACGGTTGGGATATGTGGCGACAGAAGGGCACATGGCTAAGAGTATTGGGCAACTTGGATGGAGGCGGTTCCAGCGGTAAGCGGGAAGAGGAGGCCATCGATGGGGGTCTGGGGTTAAGATGAGCGGTCATGGTAGCGGCAGCGGTCACCGCATAAAGGGTTACGTTTAAGCGGCAGCGGTAAGATCTGTTGCGGCAATGTCAGCAACCAGGGCATTTGGGCTTGCTAGGGCTGATGTTATTAAGCAATGAATTGAGTCACTAGGTCACGTCCATGGCCATGTGACATAGCTCACTGGGGTCGGGTCATTGGCCGTCGGGTCACTCGATGTCGGGTCAGTGGTCGCGGGGTCACTGGGGGTGGCGAGGTCACCGTGGCCTATACCGGGACAAGTTTTGATCACTAAGGGATTTTGTTGTTAGCGGGAATGACGGAGTCACTGGCGGAATTAGTCACTGTGGCTGCCAGTAGTAACTGGTCGGGTGGTCACGGTCGGATTGTGGCGGAAGTTGGTCACTGGCCAAGCGAACGTTTGTCATTGAGTCATTGGATGTGTGAATGTTAGTCACCAGAGGAATATAACTTAATTGCGATATTAGTGACCGTGACATTGGTAACTACAATATTTAATCACTGTAGCGGTAGTAAATGAGACGGGGGTCCTTGGAGCGGTTGTAATTGAGACGGTGGTCACTGGAGCGGTAGTAACTGAGAAGTGGTCACTGGAGCGGTAGTAACTAAGAGGTGGTCACTGGAGTGGCAGTAACAAAGATGGTGGTCACTGTAGCAGTAGTAACTGGGACGGTGATCACTGGAGTGGTAGTAATTGAGACAGTAGTCACTAGAGTGGTAGTAATTGGGACAGTAGTCACTGGAGCGGTACTAACTGGAACAAATTTTTCAAACAAATTTTCGTGTAATAATTTAAATATTTAATTACGTATGTTGAGAAATAACATTAAATTAAAAAATAAACATTAATTTTTAGAGATTGCAATGTTCCTGTAAAAAAAAGAGATTGATGTTATTAAGCAATGAATTGGTATGCACTTGCAATTTGACGGCCTACAATTTGACGGAAGGTATCAACTTTACCTGAGGCCGCTTTTTAACTTATGAAGGGTACTTTAGACATATAGGATTTTATTAGTTATATTTTTGGAAACTAAAAAAAATTGTAATAAATTCTTTAGGCATGCCAAAGCAGGTAATACACCTCTTCTTATTTTATTATGTCATATGCTCTTTCTGTTACTATTACTATTAGAACTACGCTAGGAAATCATACAAGTAATGACATGTTTGCATTTATTTGTAGTCATATATACCATTAGAGTTGTCAAATGGGCCAACCCGACCCAACCTGACCCGACCCGTGACGGGTTATGGTCCATGTGGGTTGGGTCGGGCCAACCCGTTTAATGACGGGTCAGAATTTCTACAACCCTAACCCGACCCACCTAAGCCGTGGGTTAAACGGGTTGGCCCGCAGGCCAATATGTAAAAAAATATATATAACAAAAAAATTAAAAATAATTACCCGGAAGTATATATTTATATTAGTAAGTATTAAATACTCATGATTAAAATACTACGAGGGAAATATAAGAAATCAAAATACTAAAAATTCAATACTTGTTAAGTTTAATTAAAAAATACTATGTATTAAATACTACTTATACAAGAATTCGAAAACTATAAGAGGGTATGCGACAAAAATACTCATTGCATAAAAATAAAGATCTACATAACCTTTTGATTAATTATTTGTAAATAATGACTACTAATTGTTAAATATTGTATCGAACTTCACATAAAATATATGTTTCAACATTTTATTTGAAAATTTATTATAGAAATAAATACTGTTTTGCCATGGTTGTAATTTTTATTTGTAATTATAATAATATTGGTCATAAAAGGACAATATTTAAGATAATAAAATTTAAAACTATATTTTTGTATATTGGCCCGCGGGCCAACCCGCAACCCGGTGGGCCAACCCACTTAAACCCACAACCCGCGTGGGTTGACCCGTGAAACCCGCGAACTAAATGGGTCAAAAATTCGCAACCCTAACCCACCAATAAATGACTTTAAATGAGCCAGCCCGTGGGTTTCGGCCCATTTTGACGGCTCTATATCTGTGTTCTGATTTTCGGCCCGGTTGGAGTTAGTTGTTGAAGAGGGGGATGTTGTTGGAGTCTCTATGAGTGTTCTTCCCCTTTGGTCCGTTCCTGTTATCTGGTGTGGGAACTGGGAACTTCATAGAAGAAGATAAGTGCTTATTTTGACCCGTTCGTGTTGTGGTACTTGTATGTTTGTGTAATTGTGGCATAAGTCCATTTGTGCGTCTGTGTGTAGGTCTGAGTCAATTGTGCGTGCACTCATCAATAGGACACATTTCATTTTTGTGATTTCTTCCGGAAGGCAGCCAAGATAGGTAAACGGTTGAGCCCTTTACAGGCAGTGGGATGCTTGACCATGAGTGTTTCTATAATCTTCTTTTAAGCACTCTGACATAGTTAATATGTAAATAATGTGTACCATGCATGCATTTGGGTTAGAATCTCGATAGTTATGGTATTTGAATTAATTATAAGTTTATCATTAAAAGCCAACAATGAAAAAGTTTCATTTTTGATGCCCAAATTGTATATGATTTTTATAAATTAAATTGTTAAAAAGTTTTTTTAAACATGTGATTAAAGCCTAAAATTTAAAAATTTAAAATTGCAAGTGAAATGTTTATATAGTGATTTTTTCATAGTCAAGGTTTACTGAACTTCTTAGTAAAGAGCAGAGTACACTATACGTTTTTAACATGAACATTAATAGACAGATAAGTTGTTTAAGACTACAATCATAAAATGGGACACAATAACAATGATCATGCTCGGACATAATATTTTATGTGTTTATATATACAGCTATATACTCTTTTACTCCTATTATATACCTATATATTGTATAGGCATATATAACATACTACATATATGTAATACAGTAGACATGTATGTAGTATTAAGTTGATTATATTATATGTAGTATGGAGTATTTATATACGGAGTATATTTTAAAAAGAAACTAAGAGTTGACTGTCTCATGCTCTGCACGGGTTTTGAATGTGAGAATGTCATATTAATAAACTGAATGTTTAACTGTCTCATGTAGTGGTATCTATTATTTATATTAGCATACATGTCATTCATTCATATACATATATAAGCCAAGCACCTCAATGGCCCTTGGATCTGCTTGTTATGGTCCTTGGATGCTCAGTATGTGCTGCTATTTGCATAATTTTCAAAAGACTTTTAAGCACATGATATACCTCTTAATCATGGAAAACAACTTGTAGTGTCTCCCCTCTCCTGAAATGCAGTCAAACTTCTAAGGCCCATGGTTAAAAGAAACATCTAAGGCCCAGACAATTCTTGCTTTCCATTATACATTTTTAACATGTATTATGTGTCTGCTATGGAGTTAGATACATTTTAACATGGTATTATCTTTTATATTGCAGGTCTAAGCCAAAAATATTATACTGTATTTTTTAGTTACAATAGCATGCTTTATAAAATGCAAATTCGTAGGATCTTGGACCTGAATAAGGTGCCCAAATATGTATTGTTCGTAAATTAAATGTAATTATTAAATAGTTAAGATTAGCATGCAGGGTTTTATTATTGCATAGCCAACTTCTCAGGTATGTTTCTCATCCCCTAAATTTTAACTCTGGTTTTTTGCATTTAATTTCATGATCTTTAAAGGAGGTTGTTTCTAAAATAAATTGTTGATTGTTCAAAGGGTGAGGGAAAGGGGTTGACTGGACATAAACCTTTTTTCAAAACATGCCTTATCTTCCCTGATTGGTTTACTTTTAGTGTCTGGACCTTCTAGTATGCTTGTTGATCTGTTACACTCAAAATATAATAGTTAGAAACCCTACGGTATATAAAACTAATTAGTAAAACAGTCCAAGTTTTACATGTGAGATTTACCTTTTGTTGTTACCATTGATTATATGTGTTTGAGAAACATGCATTCCCACAATCCTGCCAATAAAATCTGTTTATCAAATAAAAGTTTAGAAATGTTAAGAACTAATTATATAGATCGAGTCTTACCAATATGTTGGTTGCAAGGTATTCCTAGTAACACCCTATTTATGAAAATTTTGGTGATTGTTCACCTTAGATGAATACAGCTAAAAATACATGAATACTACGGAGTATTTGAATAATTTTCAAAAAGGGTTTAGAGCAAATAGTGTACCTCTTCTTTGAATATGGTAATACATCTGACCCATAAAACTCTCACTTCCAGGTGCCTATTTTTGGTTGTGAAATGCTTGCTGATGGTGTGGTTTGCAACCCTTATGGATGATATTTATAGGGCCTAGAAGGGATTGTCTTTTAAAGCAAATACTCTGTAGGTTTTTAACCAATGGTCCATTGTACCCGGATCTTTATTAAAGATTATGTAGTACAAACATTAAATGAGATGCTTGATGACCGGGCTATACATTAAAGCAATACAGTGAACTTGTTTGAAAGCATTAATTACCCATCATCATTTTCATTTTCATTTACCCCAGTGCCGCAAAGGCTCCCACCTACGGTGGGGTAAGGGGGGGTCGGATGTACGCAGTCTTACTCCTGTACTAAAGCACAGAGAGACTGTTTCCGGATGACCCATAGTGAAAATCGCGTCCAAGATTGCATGGACTGACTGTTGCTCCATAACAAAGAAGCGCAGACAGTTTAGTGAGCCATTTTGCTTTAATTACCCATCTCCTTATAATTTAAGCATGCGGCTATTGAAATGACATCCCATGCTTTTGTAGTACAATCTCATTAATTCGGATTGACACATAAATATTTTTGAGATTAAAGTTGTCCTTTTTTGTCATTGTAAATCGTGCAGCACAAATAAATAAATACGCGACCTTCAACAACATCTCAGAAGTCTTCGTCAACAACGTCCTTCAGTTCGCAGATACGAACTAATTTTCCCAAGTAGCACGTAGAAGTTCCCAGCTCGCCATCGCCAACAGTTTTGCCTTATTTGCCGACCTCGTCGCATGCGCAGGTCTACTCTCAGTCGCGAACACCTCCGCCACAGCATACGCGAACTTCGAACAGCCCTGTTGTTTCCAGAGGTAATTCAGTTTACTCGAATGTCCATAATCATCGACGTAGCGATGAACAAATTAGAATACCTGTGCATTCTGGTAGAAAGGTAGATTTACCTTTGTTTAACGGTGAAGGAGCCTATAACTGGATTATACAAATGGAGAGGTATTTTCGGTTAAATGACATTGAAGAAGAAGAGAAGGTTGAAGCTTCTAGGGTTGCTATGGAAGATAGGGCTTTGGATTGGTTTCATTTGTGGGAGAATCGGACTGAAGAAACTAATTGGGACACTCTGAAGAAATCTATCATTCGTAGATTTCAACCTGAGTTGAATTCTTCATCCGCCAGCAGTTCACGACCAAGTAAGACTCTATCGAGAGAAGCTTCCCGTTCGCAGATGTCATCGCAAACTGTTTCAGCTTTGTCGCGAACAATAGCTTCCAGTTCTCAGGTATCAACAGTCCTGCAGGAATCTGTGAGGGAGCAGCAACCATCCTTTGATGATAGGAGTGCTTCTTTTGTCAGAGAAAATGCAGAGAAGTGCACTAAGAGCGACAATGAAAGCGAGGAAAAAGCATCAGATGCCGTTGAACATAAAGGTGAACCCCATGCCATTTTTTCAGGAGGACCTTCAGGGCATGCAATGAACTCTGATAAATCACGTTTATCTAGTGAAAGAGCAGTTCAAGAAAGGAGGTGTGCTCAAGCCAAGGCATTATCATGGTTCTGGAAGGCGGTCAATCAGGGCGAGGCAAGGTCAATGGAACTTCTTGGTGATATATATGTAAGAGGAGAAGGAGTTGAGAGGAACTACACCAAGGCAATAGAGTGGATATCACTTACTTCCAAGCAACAATTTTATTCGGCTTATAATGATATGGACTATTTCTACATGAAAGGTTATGGGGTGCGGAAGAAGTATACCCCTACAAAAGATCATTTGGAGAAGGGTGATGATAATGATGAGCTTCGTTAGTTCTACAACCTTGGGGTTATGTATCTGAATGAGCTTGGGGTTAAAAGGGACTTGAAGCTAGCCGGCAAGTATTTGATAGGGGCTGCTAATGGGGGTCAACGAGCAGTCTACACTTGTATATCCTCCATGCTGCAATTCAAACAGGAGACTGATCAGAGGGATACATTATTAAAAGTGGTTAGCTTGCTGGAGGATATTTTTGCTATGCCCAAATATATAATCAAGGAGGCTTTTCAACCAGTATTTCTGGAAGTCCTAAAGATGTCTACTGATAGAACAGCTGAAGTTCGGATGGGTGTCCTTGAAAAGGTTAAAGCTGTAGGGTGTGCCTTATCCTCAATATGTTCTGAAAGAATCAAACTCATGGCTGAGAGACTTAGAGAGCAGTATCTACTTGTGAAAAGATATACCTTGGAGAGATCAGATGCTTTTGAACTTGTTCAAGGTCTTGAGCAAAGTGAGGTCAATTCTCTTGAAAAGATGTTGGCACAACGGCAAAGGATACAACAGGAAACATAGATGTTGGAAAACTTTTGCAACATAAGAGAGCATTCTGCCTCCAGGACCTTGTTACTGCTCCTTGCAGAGAAGAACAAGAAGATGCAGCTTCAAGTACTGAAGCTAAAGATCCAGAATGCAATGTTGTACTGGGAAGGGAGAGGTGCCAGAATGAAGTGGCAGTGGGAGATCATGGTTGATTCCTATCACCCACCTTGAGGACAAGGTGGTTGTTTAGGGGGGGAGTATTGTTAGAAATGGGCCTAGTATTAGAAATAATAATAAGTGGGCCTATTATTGTAGATAATAATAAGTGCGCTTTTACTATAAATAGAAGTTAATAAGCTAGCAGAAGTAGGCTGTCATTTGGTTGGACTTATACTTTGGAGATTGGGCATCTCGAATTGTCCTAGGCATTGTATACGTTCTGTTCTTCTACGCAATTCAATAAACTCTTCTGATCTTGCTCTTGTGAATTTCTTATTGAATCTATTGTGTTGTGAGTGGATTTACCAGTGTCTATCACAATCAGAAGTCAGAACATAAAGCAGCTTCGGGAAATATGTTTATTTGTAAATTATATTTCCAATCAAACTAAATTAAATCAAAGTTATGTAAAATAACACTTGAAACTCACAAAGGAAGAAAATAAACATTAAATGGATCTGTAAACTCACAAAGGCAGATTTGAAACTGCTCACCTGGACGATTTCCAGAGCTGTAATGAAAGAACCCCCAATCTGAAAGAAGAAAATAGATCCTACATGAAAGGGGATGCAACGGAGTATGGAAGTGAAAATATATGAAGAGAAAAGAAAGAATGAAGAAATGAAAGAATGAAGAAAATGAGTACATTTTTCCAAACCAAGTTTCTATATATTATGAGGTAATAAGAGGAGCGATCCAAAATGTCTTCCCATTCAAGTTTGACTTTTTTTGGGTTTACAGCCAGCACCTATTTAAACTACATATATTATTACCCATTCAACAAAATTGGCTACATATTCAATATTCAAGAGTTAGACTTCTAAATGCAAAACATATTAATTCCTTAGATAGATTGTACTCCCTCTGTCCCTTAAAACTTTGTCATCTTTCCTTTTTGGGACGTCCCAAAAAACTTTGACACTTTCCCTTTTAATCAATTATTTTGTGGTTTCTGTTATTTATATCTCCTCTGCACAAATCTCAACCACACAGTTTTTATTTATTATTCTCCGTGCCGGTCAACTTTGGTAAAGTTTTAAGGGACGGAGGTAGTATAAGAAAACTCACATGTACAACTGATGTGTCTGAACACATTAGTCAAAAATACGGTCTACGGCTCCTTTTATCCATATAATAGGGATTTGTTCAAATTTTGCAAGGCGCAAATTGTTATGGAGAATTATATTAAGATGTATTCAGCATATCCAGCAATATTTGAATACATTACCTATTAAATTACGGAGTACGTCTGGAGTAAATGTTAACCTTCGTTTGGAAGATCTTCTACTGCATTTTAGAAATCGCAAAATCAGTCAATCGTCACAAATTGCATTTTTCTTTTATTTTTTCTTCTTTTATTTCAGGAGTTAATTGAATCATTATTGTCATTTGATTTGAATCTTATGGTAATCTGGCCTTGTTTTGTATTTGTGAGTGATTTGACAAATCGCTACCAATGGAACCAATCCCCATGTGGAGCCTTCACCTTTGAGAAAGGCCAAATATTTCCAGGTGGAACATCACCGTATAATATATACGGAGTACAATCTATAAAAGAAGAAGAAAACATTAGAGGAGGCTAAAGAAGGATAAAAACAACACCTGAGATCAGTTAAAGTTATTGCATTACATTCTTGAAGCAACATTGCTTTGGCTACTGGTGTTAAGGCAGGGGCAGTTGTGACTGTTTCTACCCGTTATCACTAATAGATCCATAGATAATGTTTTTCTCTCCTTGAAGTAATCAAATTTACTGATACCAATCAATTCCTTGAACATCATCCATATATCTATAACAAAGAAAACATTAGAGGAGGCTAGAGAAGCAAAAAAACAGCAACTGAATTGCTCTACATTTCTCAAGGAAAAAGTATTAATGTGTCCTCATGTGTGTAGACATACCAGCTAATAATAAGCCTTTTTATCTCTCATCCAAATGAGTAAGGGATTCAAAATCATGTGAGAATAAGTCCAGTCCACTGCAATCATTTTTTTAGAAATTAAAAACAACTTAAAATCACAATTGCTGGTAGTCTAATAAAGAATAATATAGCAATTCACTTCATTATTAACTAATAATTATATTTCTAATCAAACTAAATAATAAAAGTTTCTACTGAATCTTGTTCTACGTTTTGAAGCTTAGGAATATCATGAGTAAATCTGATTATCAGTATAGAAATATCTGAAAAGAGGAAACTGGGATAATTCTTAAGAGTAGCTAATTAGTATTTTCATCTAAGAAGACACAAAAGTTGTTACCATTATTCTTGGTTGGTGTATTTTCTATCTACTTCATTCCTTCTTATTAAATCACGGAATTGCTCCTTATTAGACCACCAATAATGTGCTCTTAACAATGAACAGATGTTGACATCATTAAGCAGAGTCTGACATGCTCTCTACTTCTTTAATAATATATGGTAGTAAAGTCATATTCATCTAGACAATAGTTATTATTTGAGAAAATATTATACAATGTTTCTAAAGTCTAGACACCAGTACTTTAATCAATCTAGCCCAACAAACTCCAGTTCTAAAGTCACTCTTACATCCTAAAAACTAATGAAATAAGGTTTGACATAGTGCAGTTCTATTTTTTAATTTGTACTTCTCTATAGTTTTCATGTGCACTTTTTGTGATAAAATACAGAGTACTAAATAAAAAAAATGTTTTGGAAAAAATGTGTTTGAACTATTGACTTAGGTACCCATGCTGCCATACCCCTTAAGGGTGGAAGGTTGAATTTCAAATCCATTTAACCATTCTCCATAGTCCATACTTTCAATTGCTTACAAGTTACAACCATGTAATGTTAGTTTCAACTTTGATATTTTCCTTACAAATGGTGTTTCTAATAAATCAAATACATAAATAATATTAGAATGATGAATTTTAAAATGATATTAGAATGACAGAAATAGAATAAGTTTCAAAATAAATGAGAATGATAGCATGAGGTAAAGGTTTTTATCAAAGTACTGGCTTACAAATTAAAATCTCTAATATTAGAATGTTCCTTAATATTTCGAATTACCTCATAACTGTGAAGAGATACCTAATATAATATTAGAAGAAGAACTAGAAGAGCTATTTAAATTTTAGAAGAAGAACTTGAAGAGAGACCTAATACCTGTATTTGCTCTATGTCACAAGGTCAAAGTCTACACTTGCCCTTAGCTTTTCATCTAAATATTTTGTTGCTTCATTTGCATTACCTTGTATACGCAAAGCATTAATCAAAGAAGAATAAGTAATCACCGAAGGGGCAATCCCCTCCTTTAACATTCTGCCTTTCAATCCAAGGGCTTCCCCAGTGTTACCATTTCTGCAGTGCCCCTCAATCAAAGTATTATAGGTTATAACATTGGGGGTTATGCCTTTTGAGCGCAGCTTATGAAAAAGTTTCAGTGCTCTATCAACATGTCCAGCTTTACAAAGTCCGTTAATGAGAGCATTATATATAGCAATGTTAGGAACAAGATCCTCTTTAAGCATTTCATCTCGTAATGCAAAAGCCTCATCAACATTACCAGCCAATGATACACCATGTATCAAGGTACAATATGTAAACTCATCTGGTACAAAACCTTTTTTTATCAAAGCACCAACCATTTCTCTTGCATCACTTATCCGGCCAATTTTGCATAACCCTACCACAGCAAGATTATATAGAATGGTATTGGGCACGACAGAATATTTTGACCCCTCATCAATGGAATTTGCAATCTTTTGAACATCTAATGATCTGAAGTGGGGAGTTGAAAAGTCGTTAAGACATTTAAGTTTCAGACTATTATCAATGCTCAAAACTTTATGCAACAACATGAATGCATCATTAGCCATGCCATGCCTATATAAGCCACTAATAATTGTGCTGAATATGATCTCATTCGGAATCAGCCCCTTACTTATCATCCCACAATATGAACTAAAAGCTTTGTCAAGCTTCCCTTCCTTAACCCATCCGCTAATAAGGGCACCGTACGTAACAACGTTGGGCATCATTCCCCTTGTATGCATTTCATTGATAAGATCTTCAACTTTATTCAACTTCCTAGCCAAAAAACATCCAGTAACCAGAGAATTGTACATTTCAATAGAAGGGAGACTTCCTTGTTGTTCCATGACTCTCTTTACCCTCAAAGCCCTTTCGGTTTGTCCGTCTTTACAGTAACCTTCAATTAAGGCTCTATAAGTAATTCCATCAAGTGAACAACCAAGCTCCTTCATTTTGTCAAGAAGCTGTTCTGCTTCAATTATTTTCCCCATCTTACACAGTCCTTGAACCATTGTATTGAAAAGAATTGTGTTTTTATTAAAGCCTCTAGTCATAATGTGTTTATACAACACTGTAGCTGTTTCAAACTCATTGGCCTTAATAAGCCCAACAAAAAGAGTACCACAGCTAACCTCATCAAATGAAATATCTCTTTGAAGCATCATATGCCATAGATCCAAAGCTTCACTGATAGCACCGGATTGACAAAAACCGTTCAAGAGAGTATTGTATGTTACATGTGTTGGTTCAATACCAACTTGAATCATTTCATCACATAGGTTCAATGCTTCACTTTTCAAACCACCCCTGCAATACCCATCTAATAAGGTATTATAGCTGTAAGAATCCGGTCTCACATCCCATCCAATCATAGTCCTTATTATGCCTTTTGCTTGATGAAGTTGACCGAATTTGCAATAACCATTTATAAAAGAGTTGCAAATAAAGAGGTTTATTTTCAAGCCTAAGCTTATCATCTCATCACGGAGCCTGAGAGCTTCATCTAGTCTTCCAATTTGACAAAACCCATTTATTAATACACCATAGACCTGCTCATCCACAACTAGTGCATTGTTTTCTGGAACCTCCATTCCTCGGAATACTTTCTCTGCCTCCTCCATATTCCCCTGTTTGCAATGTCCCTTGATTAGCAATGTATATGTCAAAATGGTCTTGGATATTCCTCTTTCAATCATTAATCTCAAAGCTCTTTCAGCTCCCTCCAGATCACCCTTCTCAACATACCCATTGATCAAACAATGATAAGTCGCTCTATTTGCATCTAAACCCATTGCATCCATTTTATGAATAAAGTCCTCAGCTCTTTCAACTCTACCATCCTTACAATAGGCATTTACTATAGTTGTACAAGTGTATATGTCCGGAGAAATTCCAATTCTAATAATCTGATCATAAACACACAATGCAGTATGATATTCACGTTTTCTCACCAAACAACTCAACAAAGTATTACATGAGAGTAAGCTCGGCATACAGCCACTCATGGGCATATTATCGAACACATGTAATGCATTCTTAATTAACCCCTTCTTTGCATAAACTTTAAGAACCATATCAAAAACTGTCCGAGAAAATTTGAATTCTTTGTGAACTCTAACTAACCCATTCCAAACAAGCGAGGTTGGTTCATTTGGACTGGAGAGTTCCACAAGCTCATTCAAGATAAATCGTGTCTCCTCGAACATTCGAGCTTTAGACAATATGTGAACGATTAAGCAATAAGCTGTGAAATGGGGTCTGTAATACTGCTGCTTCGAGGCTAGTTTAAAGAAATGATGGGAAGCTTCCGGGTTGAACTTGAGTTTCCGGAGAACGGCCTCAACCAGGGAGTTGGAAAAATCAATTTTGAGGCTGTCCAAGGCGTCATAGCGCCGGAGAATTAACAGTCGACAAATCTGGTCGAGGAGCTCGAATTGAGTCAGTTGGGGCTTAAGTCGGAGCCGTCGACTGTTAATTGATGCTGTATGAATGGCGGCCATCTGCTGCTCGATTGGAGAGGGAAGAAGAAGAATGAGCAGGCGATTGGAGGGAGGCATAAAGCTATTTTCTGTGATTCATCTCCTCCATAGACTCTCTCTCTCGATCAATTTGAGCTTCAGCAGTTCAGCCTTGCTCGGTGTGACGAGCATTCCATGAACGGCTGCAGAGGAGTTCAGAACTGTTTATGCAAGAAATTAACTATTTCTTCTGACGATCAAAATAAGTGAATGGGAATGGCACAAGATAAATTCTAGCAATTAATAGAGAATAAAAATAGAATTGTATATTGAACTATGAATATTGCTCTGAACACAAGAATGGGAGTAAGCTTATGGTCAGGATTGATCGTTTGTCTTTCCTCTTCCCTTAATCTATTTAAATAATAAAATTTGACTTGCTCCAGCAATCGTTACCGTTAGCCGAGAAAATGTCTACAACTCCCAGGATTAAGGGAAGCAGGTGTCACGTGTCCATCAATGTAGCTATGCTTCAATGCTTTGGGTCATGTCCGTCAATGGCTAATAATAGTGCAAACAATTAAAAAAATTGGTGGGAGGGAGTGTTGGAATTAAAGTTGTTGTTTAGAATTTCATCATGTTTAATTTAGTTTATTTTGAGTCATTGATACATTTTAGACTGATGTGTGAAAGTGCCGTTGCATTAGTGTTAGTCTAATTTGGGTCAATTAGTTGGTCAATTAAGTTATTTACATGCATGTAAATGGTACGCATGCATGAGGAGTGAGTGGGTCTTATTGTGGAGAGTGGGTCTTATTGTGGAGAGTGGTAACTACTTTGTACATGAGTGGGGGGTGTTACTTTGTTTATATATATGAAGAAAAGGTGTGTCAAAGTAAGTTGCTTTGAGCACACAAAAAAGGCTACATGAGTTCTTGTTTCTTTTTCATATGTACGTATGACATGCACTTCAATGTTATCTTCTTCCTCCCTTAGCGAATTCCCAACAGGGAGATTTGGGAACTCTGGCGACTCTTGGGACGGCCTGCAACTACTCCGGTGCGGAAGCTGGAAATAAGACCCAACAACATCTCCATACGGGGAAACAACGGCCGCAACTCTTCTTCCGGAGCAGCTCCAAGCCCTTGGCAGACTTCTCAGGTGAAACAAGGTACTCTGCAAAACTGGAACTCTTCGACGACGAGGCTCTTGCATGGGCGTGGCTTCACCGACAGACCCCCTGCGACGGCAAGATTGCTAGTGAGTTTCCTTGAAACACCCAAGTCCCAATCCAATTCTCGATCAGATGAATCCTTGAGTGGATTAAAACGATGAAGACAAGTTGCAGGGGTCAAAACCTGGTAATTCACAGAGAGAGCCACAACTCCTGCGCAGTTCCAGAAGCAGTAACTTTTGGACGCAAAACGGGGTTATGTAAAGGGTGGATTAGGATTTGTATATTAACGTGGTTGTGGATAGTAAATAAGTGGCTGTGAATAGAATCCCCCCCCCCCCCCCTTTAATCATCTAATTGGGCTTTTAATTCCTTTGCAGCGTTTAATCTACGTTCCCTTCAGCGGAGTGGGCCGATCTGTTAACAAATTTGGGCCCAACAATTGCCCCCAAATTCGAAATAGTACTCGACGCCATATCTCACCATATGACGAGTTACTTTTTTCGAATTTTGAACATCATCACGACGCCTTGAAACTTGAAAAGCCGTCTGCCTTCTTTTTTATTGAGCAGCCAGACGTCTGTCAGGCTGATCTTTCTTTCTTCCGGACTTCTCTTCTAAGAAGAAATTTCAAATTCTCTCCTTCTCTCTACCGAAGCTCTTCGTGGGAAATCATGGAATCTCAGATGTTCATTCCTCAACACATTGTGGATCCGAGAAACTCTAAGCAAGCCAGACTCTCCGAAAGTCATATTGACATTATCAAGAACAGCTCTGGATTTCCTGCGCATGCGTCAATTTGGTTCCCAGCTGCCAATGAGCGAGTGGATTGGTACTGCGATGGTTGGGTCAATTTCTTTATGTACCCCTTCAAAATTGGTATGAAATTTCCTTTCTCTCCACTAGCTAGAGACTTCTTGGCCTTTGTCAAAGTTTCCCCTTCTCAAATCATGCCACAAGTATGGAGGGTTCTTCGTGGACTGGAGGTACTGAGTGAAAAACACAGTATTCCTTTCGCGTTTGAAGATCTGGGCTTCACTTACAATCTTCGTTCTTCCGGGGCTGGACGGTTCACATTGGCCATCAAAGATGCTCGCGAGGCACTTATTCTGAGGGCGGATAAGGCGAACGATCGCGGTTGGATGAGTCTTTTCTTCTTTGTACGGAAAGATTCCCTAGGCACTGATGGAGCGTTTCTTGAAGAGAGTCTGCATAAAGGTATCTAGGCATTTTTCGTTTTTGTATATTAACTTCGAACTCAATTGGCTTTCGTATGGTTGATTCGTATCATGTCATCATGTAAAATGCATTTCCATTATCTATTGCAGAGAGGAAAACAATTCCATTGAATTATGGTCCGAACTCCGAAGAAAGAACCGCTAGAATTCTTTCCATACCCACCATTGAGCGCACTTTTGGGAATCTGGTTGCTGATAATGAAGGTACGTCCCCCACTCCTGGACCTTCTGGGTCTATTGGATTAAGGCGTTCTCGCCGCAATGTTCAGAATGTCCCTAACGATGCCCAAGGCTCGCATGTGGTCTCCGTAGACGATTCTGATCACGAGTCAGAAGGTTCAAGAGGTGGCGGCGAAGGTGCAAGTGCTTTCGTTCCCCTTCAAGTGGTGTACCCCGTTGTTCAGGACTCTTGCCCCCTCCCAGCGAAATGCTCTGCCCCACATGCTGGTACTCATTTCTGTTTACTTTGATTATTTGTCAAATATTGCTCTGCCTAAAATTTTGACGTATCATGCAAATTCTTGGTACTACAGCTGCTTCTTCATCCAGCACGCGGCCAATGCCTTCTAATTATGAACTCCTTAGCATGGTTTCGAGAAAGAAAAGAGTCCCTTCCAAGCTGGCCTCTGGTTTCTCCAAAGCTCCGTATTGTCCGACTGCTGAATTAATGAAAACTGCTCCTTCTTCTCCGGTGAATGTTGTTGCTGATCCTGACCCTGGTGTGAAGATGAACGCCCTCTTTTCTCCTGAATTTTGCTGCCTGAAGGATGCTTTCATGATGAAAAGTGAGATGCCTCAGATTCTGCTTCCCTCTTCGTCTGCTGCGTTCACCGGCATTTCTTCAGCTGGTCTAGTGTTGGCTTCATCGGCCTACGCTTTTCAGGTATCTTATCACTATGTAATGTGAATATTCAGCATCTGTTCAATAATCTTGATTCCCTTCTAACGAGATTTTTTCCATATTGGCAGAGCGTTCAGGCTAGCCTTGTTGCTGCAGAAAGGTTGGTTTTGCTAGAAAAAACAGTAGACGAATTAAAAGGGAAGAGAAAAACTCTCAAGTCCGCGCTGATGCTGATGCCCGAATGATCCAAAATCTTCGCGGGGAAAATTTGACCTTGGCGAACCAAATTTCGAACCTGAAGGCCCGCGTCAAGTCATTGGAAGCATATGGAAGGAAAAAGAAACAAGAAGTTTCTGACGCAGCTTGTTTTTACGCTTGGAAGACTAGGGGCGAATTGATGGCTTCATTCGTCGCAGGCGAGATGTCAAACTGGACAGCTGAACAAGATGTTGCTACCTGGTTGAAGCTTCAAGAAGAAATGGATCCCCGATTGGAGAGGATGGCTTTGACGTGGGCCAATCTGACAATGAAGCTGAATCCAAGCGTTCCCGTGACAATTAAACATGTTTTTCCTTCTTTATTTGCTTGACTCCAAACACTTTCTGCTTTTTGAAACTGCCCTAACATTACTCGACTTGCGTTATGGTTTCCTCGTGGTTTATTTGGGACCTAACGCTTCGTCAGGCAACTATGGATCCCGTTCTTGGTGGTTTATCCAAGCCATGTCCATGTCGTTTGGTGAATCTATTGCTATCTTTTGCTATTGTTTGAATCCTTTTTTCGCTCATGCGCGTTCTGTCGCGTATGTATGTTTGTCGCTTATGTGTGTAATATGTCATGTGTATACTTGTCGCTTATGTGTGCAACATGTCATGTGTATGTTTCGGTATACATACGCGTGTGTTTTGGCCAAAACGTATTATGTTTTATGGACTTTCGTTCATGATTCTTTCATGATGAGCTCCATCTCCCCTAAATATTGACGTATTGTCGTGAGTAAGTTCGGATGTTTTACCTCATGTTCCGGCATTCACGTCGTTTTGCGTTTAGGATTTAACCCGTCATAATCCTGCAATGATACAACACCGTTGAAGTCGGCCGTTGGCTTGAGGCCAACGGCCCTCCGATGGTCAAGTTAGTAAATGGCGAATTGTATTTGCTATATCAAAGATGATATGAAATGTAACTAATTACCTGTGACTTTGCCATTTTCGTGTGCCTTCCTGCACCAAAATCATTATTAGGGCTGGTTGTTGGCCTTAAGCCAACGACCCTCCGATGGTCAAGTTAGTAACTTTGCTTTGTGATAAAAACAGATGTGCGAAAAATAAAACGAATTAAAAATGGAAAAGCTTTAAGTGTACCTCATTCCAACTTCGGGGGACTTGTTTACCATCGACTGATTCCAAGCGGTATGCCCCCTGCCCAATAACGTCAATGATCTTGTAGGGTCCTTCCCAGTTAGGACTAAACTTACTGGCAGCCTCGTTGCCAAATGCTCTCCTTAGGACCCAGTCTCCCCTCTTGAACACCTTGGCTCGGACATTTTTGTTATAGCTTTTTGCCACCATCTTTTGATACGTCTGCAAGCGAATCTTAGCCCGTTCACGAATCTCGTCAATGGTATCCAAGTCATGCATCAACTCCACATTGTTCAATTCTTCAGTCATGAGCCCATATCTTGAAGAAGGTACTTCTATTTCGGCAGGTATTACCGCTTCACAGCCATACACTAAAGAGAATGGAGTCTGTCCGGTTGCATTTTTGGAGTTGTCCTATCCGCCCATAGTATCAATGGTAACTCGTTAGCCCACTTGCCTTGTGCTTTCTCGAGTTTTTTCTTTAAGTTGGCAATAATGATCTTATTACTGGATTCAGCCTGTCCATGGAATTGCGGGTACCTGGGAGTTGACGTTTCCAACCTGATGTTGTACCTTTCACAGAACCGTCTGGTCTTTGCACTTATGAATTGAGATCCGTTATCACATACAATCTCTGACGGAACGCCGAACCTGCAAAGTATGTTTCTTTTGATAAATGAGATTACCTGATCATCTCGTATTTGACGGAATGGCTCAGCTTCCACCCATTTTGAAAAATAATCCGTCATTGCCAGCATGTATACTTTTTGTCCCGGTGCTTCTGGCAATTTTCCCACAATATCCATCCCCCACTTCATAAAG